TTCACTCTTGCCATCTCCTGTTTGACCACTTCCAATTTGCCTTGATTCATGGACCTAACATTCCAGGTTCCTATGCAATATTGCTCTTTACAGCATCGGACCTTGCTTCTATCACCAGTCACATCCACAACTTGGTGTTGTTTTTGCTTTGGCTCCATCCCTTCCTTCTTTCTGGAGTTATTTCTCCACTGATCTCCAGTAGCATCTTGGGCACCTACAGACCTGGGGAGTTCATCTTTCAGTGTCCTATCTTTTTGCCTTTTCATACTGTTCATGGGGTTCTCAAGGCAAGAATATTGAAGTGGTTTGCCATTCCCTTCTCCAGTGGACCACATTCTGTCAGACCTCTCCACCATGACCCGACCATCTTGGGTGGCCCCACATGGCATGGCTTAGTTTCATTGAGTTAGACAAGACTGTGGTCCTGTGATCAGATTGGCTAGCTTTCTGTGATTATGGTTTCAGGGTGTCTGCCCTCTCACAACACCTACCATCTTACTTGGGTTTCTCTTACCTTGGACGTGGGGTATCTCTTCACGGCTGCTCCAGCAAAGCGCAGCCACTGCTCCTTACCTTGAACGAGGGGTATCTCCTCATGGCCGCCCCTCCTGACCTTGAATGTGGAGTAGCTCCTCTCAGCCCTCCTGTGCCCGCGCAGCTGCCACTCCTTGGATGTGGGGTTGCTCCTCTCGGCCGCCACCCCTGACCTCGGGCGTGGGGTAGCTCGTCTCGGTCGTGGCCCCTGACCTTGGATGAGGGGTAGCTCCTCACAGCCACACTTCTGCGCAGTCCATCGCAGCCGGAGTTGCTAAGCCATGTCCAACTTTTTGCGACCCCATGAACTGCAGCACACCAGGCTTCCCTGTCCTTCACCATCTCCCTGAGTTTGCTCAAACTCATGTCCATTGAGTCAGTGATTCCATCCAACCATCTCAGCCTCTGTTGCCCACTTCTCCTCTTGCCTTCAGTCTTTTCCAGCATGAGGGTCTTTTCCAAAGAGTCAGCTCTTCCCATCAGGAGGCCAAAGGTGGGCTCATTACCATTAATTATTTCCTTAAAGGCCCTGTCTCCAAATACAGTCACACTGGGGGTTAAGGCTTCAATATATGAATTTGGGGGAGATAATTCAATCTATGACACCATATGACCTAGCAATTCCACTCCTAAGTTTATTCCCAAGAGAACTGAAAACTTATGTTTCCACAAAACTTGTACGTGAATGTTCATAGCAGCATTACTCTAATAGCCAAAAAGCAGAAAAAGTCCAAATCCCACAAACTGATAAATGAATAGACAAACTTGTGGTATATCCATACAATGGAATATTACCCATAAAAAGGAATGCAATACTGATACATGCTACAACATGAACAAGCCTTGAAAACATTATGCTAAGTGAAAAAAGGCCAGACACAAACGTCTAGACATTGTATAATTCCATGTATATAAAATGATCAGAATAGGAAAATCCATAGGAACAGAAAATGGATTAGTGGTTATTAGGGGCTAGAGTGGGTGGGAGGAATCGGGAGTGACTGTTAATGGGGTTTCTTTTGGGGGTGATGAAAATGTTCTGGAATTAGAGAGTCTGTGATAGTTGTATAGGAAAAAATGACTGAATTGCACACTTTAAAAGGTATGTGAAATTTTATGGTATGTGAATTATATCTAGAAAGAAAATGACAATATGAACAACGTGCTGTGTATAAAAACATACTAGATGTGACCAAAGCTATTCTCAGAGGAAATTTCTTAGACTTAAAATATTAAAACTATAATATAACAACTAAGCACTGAACTTACCTAGAAAAAGACCTCAGGAAAGCAGGAGGATGGTATTAAGAAAGATAATATCATAAAATAATTGACAGAAGTAAAGAGCAGTGAAATTGATGAGTTCAAGAGCTGGTTATCTGTCATAACCAATAAAATAAATTCCTTCCAAGAATGATTTTTTAAAAAGAAATCACAGGGCACAATACAAAGAAAGAGAAAGTAAACTCTAGCTACTACAGAAAGTTTTTAAATAAACATTTCTGGGCTAATAAGTTAGAAAAAGATCATCAAAAGATGTTCTGTGGAAGTACAGATTAACAAAACTGATTCAGAAGGAAGTTACAGAAAAGACTGGGCCATCAGCAAACTTTCTCACTAAGATAGTTTCCCAGGCAGTTCTGCCTGTCTCCAAAGAATGATAACTATGCTATTTAAACTATTCCAGAGTAGAGAAAAAGAAAAGGTTATCCCTGATGCCTTTTTCAAAGCCAGCATTACCAAAATGCTAAAACTCGACAAAGAACACAAAAACTAATCTCTTTTATAAATGTAGATGGGAAATATTAAAATATAAGCAAATTAATTCAGCAAATATTAAAAGAATAAGACATTCATCTGCAGTAGGGTATAATCTAGGAATGCAGAAAATCACATTGTAAAATCCATTAGTAGAATTCATCATATCAAAAGTTCAAAGGAGAAAATACATGTGGTCATCTTGAAAGATGCTTAAGAAGCATTCTGTAAAATTAACATCCATTGCTGACTTTTTTTAAGCAGAAGCATTATATGGCCAAGGAGCTAAAAGCAGGGCTTTGGTAATAGACAGACCTGCGCTCTGGCTGACTTTGGATAATTCACTTGGCCTCTCAGACTTCAGTTTTATCATCTGAAAGATGATTATAATTCAATTTAAATGAATTAATGTAAAAAATCATATTGCATGGTACCCAACACAGAGCAGCCCTCAGTCAGTGGAAGCTTAGTGTTTTTATTAATAAAATGGGAGCAGAAGTTTATTTCCTTAACATGATTTTTAAATCCATCTATATCATAATACAATTGGTATCAGGAAATACTAGATAAAAATTTGCGTTACATATATTATGCAACAAGGGATTTATAGTAGATAATTCTAGGTATGGATATAAATATAGGAAAAATTGTGGAAGGATATACTCCAAGATATGAGTAGTTGTGTTTATCTCTGGATAACAGGATTCTGGGTGCTTTCTTTCATTTTCTATACTGAATTTTTTAAATGTAAATGCAGGACTTTCCTGAAGGCCCATGCCAATACAGGGGACACAGATGTGATTCCTGGTCTGGGAAGATCCCACTTGCCATGGGGCAACGAAGCTCTTGCGCCACAGCTACTGAAGCTTGAGGGCCCTAAAGCCCTGCCTGCCACAGCAAGAGAAGCCACCACAGGGAAAAGCAGCCCCTGCTCTCCGCAACTAGAGAAAGCCCACACACAGCAATGAAGACTCAGGGCAGCCAAAAAAAAAGGAGACAGAAAAAAAAATTGTTGAATGTAAATGCAATAGCAAATGTTAGATAGGGATAATTAAAAACAAAAACCTGTTCTTCCAGAACACCAGACAAGTTGGGAACCCTCTCCTAAAAGGCAGAGGAAATGAACTGAGAGCTGAAAATGACAAAGGAAGTGACAAGATTTGAGAATCAGAAAAATGGACGTACAACTCAAGGCTTAGGAAGATTCTTGGAGAGACTGGCATTATCAGAGGTTCTAGTCAAAGTAATAACTGAAAAAAACTTTCAGAAATAAAAAGAGGTACGCAGATTGAAAGTTTTACGATGTTATAGCCAAACTCAATGAAAAGAAGTCAGTATTGGTTAGATTTAATTTTCACCAGTAGGCTAAAGAATTATACAAACATCCATGTGTGTACACCTTTGTACCCAAGTTACCTACAAAACAACGAAAATTACCCTGGCCTTAGACTTCTCTGCAACACAGCTGCCATTAGACAAGGAAGCAAAGTCACAAAAGGATCATATCTTTTCAGACATGAAAAGACTCAGAAATCATACACTCATTTCTTGCAAAGGATACCTGGAGGATTACTTGAAGCTGTACCCCAGCTGAGTAAGACAAATCAAAAGTATTAATAAAAGTCAAGAATGAGGAAGGTGTGATATTAAAGGAGTGCAGGTCTTCACTTACTCATCTAAATTCCAGACTCCCAAAAGGGACTGTTATGTGTTGGCCAGTGAATTCTATTGCCCCTACCCTCCGACCCTCCGTGCTTCCTTGCTCTTTTCCAGGGCCAGGAAAGAGGGTGAGGCAGTAGAATCCTTGTAGAGGCCAAGGGACACACAGGGTCCCTCTTTCTGAGGAAGGAAATAGGGAGGCATGATTTGGCTTCCCACTGAAATTTTTGGACAGAGAGGGCAAAAGATTGCAGAATCTTCCACCTCTTTTTTCCGGGAACTGCAGAGCTGGGTGTGGGGCAAAGGCTCACTCCAGGTCAGGAAAGAGGAGCGCGCACTGGCTCCCGCAGACGCGCTGAACACTCATAACCTTTGTGGCCCCGAGGCACAGAATCATCCGCATCTTCAGTCCCTCCCGCGTGGCCTTCGGGAAGGGGGCTGACCTCGGTGGGGGTCGCCGGGGTCGGGGATCTCTGTGTAAGACCAGCGATCGCAGTTTATCTGGGGTGGTTGCGGGCTGTGGGGATGCTCGCGGTGGGTGGGACAGCGGAGCGCGCGGGGTGCGGAAGATCTTACCCCCGGGCCCGGTGGAGACAGTGACCTGCGCGTAGGTGGCTCCCGCGGCGGCCGCCGGGCCAGACACGCCGTTGAGCGCGGCCACGCGCACGGTGTAGCGCGCGCCGGGCCGCAGGTGCAGCAGCGTGGCGGCGCGCTCCCGCAGTGGCGGGGCGTGGTAGGTGAGGGGCGGGATGTGGGAGGGGGGCGCGGTCAGTGATGGGGTGGGTGGACGTTAGTGAGGGGATGAAGTTACTGGATCTGGGGACCCAACAGAGTGTAAGGGACGGGAGTCCCCCTCCTGACTGGAGAGTTATGAGAGGTGAGGGTGGGAGCGGTGGCCGGTGGCCCACAGGGTGACCGCCCAACAAGCCTAACCTCATCCTTTCGCCTGGACTCTCTATTGTCCTGGTTCTTCCATCCTCAGGCCCCAGCCTGCGGTCACCACCCCTCCCTCCACTCTGCCGTCTGGGGGGCAGGCCCGCACGTGCGCCCTGGTGCTCCCCAGTGTGGAACCCCTGCCCTCACCACGCCTCTATTCCGCCTTTACAGACTGCCCCCCACCCCCTGCCCGTGGTAAGGCATTCAGGAGCCGGACTCACGGGTGCAGGACGCTGAGGGCGGGTCGGTGGGCGAGCGTGCGTAGCTGTCCTGGCACACGCAGAACGTGGACGCGTTTTCCAGGGCCCGGCTGTGCTCTGGGCACGGCGAGCAGAAAGGCCGCCTCGGGGACACCTTGTAAAACCCTGGGGGACAGGCTGCGGGGAGGAACTACGTGAGCAAGGGGCTACACCACAGCCTCTCTCTTCTCCACTTTCCCGGTTGGGGTGGAGCTGCGTTGCTGCTTTTAGTAATTCACTGAATGCTCATAACAACCTGTAAGATCTGCACTTTATCCTCATTTTAAAAATGAGGGAACTAAGGCTCAGAGAAGTTAAGTAACTTGCCAGATGTCCCACAGCTAGTAAATGGAGGGATTCCAACTGCAGCCAACTGGTTCACAGCCCACACCACACTGCCCTAAGGCCCACTGGAAGAAAAGGAGCCAGGCTTTCCAGTTTTGATGTGAGGACAGAAGGGAGAGGCCTCTGAGGGCTGTTCCCCAGTTACTCAAGGACAGACACCCACACACTCCCAGTTAGAAACATTGTCACACACAAACACACACACACTTGTCAGAGCTCTTCCTCCCACCTCCACTGTTTGAGGGTTAATGCATCATAAATCCTCCACTGACGCACTTGGTCCCCATTTAAGAGTGGAGCCAGCCACTCAAGTGGAGTGAGAAGAGGGACCATGCAAGCTCCTTGGTTCTGACACCTCCTCGGTTACTTGGCTGCTCTCACTTCCCTCGCCTCCCCTAGAAGTCAGTGGTTGAAAGCACAGGCTTTTCTGTCTACCTGGGTTTGCAGCTGAATTGCACGACTTATTTGCTGCGTGGCCTTGGGCAAGTTGGTCCACTTCTCTGAGCCTTGCATAGAATACCTACCTCAAAAAGGTGGTTGGAGGATTGAGATAAAAGATGCAAACCGCTGAGCCCAGTACAGACAACATTTGCACACTAATGCTAGTAATTACTCTTCCTCCAGCACAGCCTTAAAGTGGAAACAGCTCAACACCCACTTTAAAAAATTTCTCACCAGCTGGGCCAGAGAGGGAGGCAATGGCTTCTGGCCCTCCTCTCAGAGCTTGGGTGGTCCTCACCTGGTTCCCTGACCCTGCCAGGATTTCTTTATCCCTCTCCTCTGGTTTAGCTTTTTGTGGAAGGCTGGCGGCTCTCCAGCCCCAAGAAGACATAGTACAACAGAAAGGATGTAGACTAGCCCTTGGGAAGAACTTCCAGCTGTATGGGAGAAGAGGGCAGGGGGCTGAGGGTTCTCATTATCTGGAAGCTTAGGTCTGGCAATGGGTCCCTGTTGCCTAGAGCCCTGGGCTTTGGGCAGCTTTGGGCAGGGCCTCCAAAGCTCAGGAGTCTTTGGGAGTTCCTGCCTTTGAAACAAAGCATGGGGCTCGCAAACATCTGGTCTGGGCAACAGCAGTCAGGCTGGGACTCCGGAGGCCTGGGTTCCAGTGTTAGCCTTGCTACTTCCTATGCCTCTCTGGCTTCAACAAACCAGACAAATGCAAACACTAGGCATGGCCTGCCCACCTCCATTGGGAAGTAAGAGAGGGATGTGTTTGCAGGATCGCACAGCAGGAGAGAAAGAATGTGGGAAGCTCCTTTCTCCGTGTGTATGTGTGTCTGGGGTCCCAGAGGTGGGTGGTCCAATCAGAGACAGCATTGCTTATGTCTACTTTGAGAGGCTCTGTTTAGAAGAGGTTGTATTGAGGGGCAGACTCAGGAAGGGACTCCTGAGTACCGGCCCCCTCCCTCTCTTCCTCACGGTCAGAGTCAGAATTTCAGGGGTGCTCTAGTTGAACACCCTCTGGCCTATCTTGCAGCAGCTTTCCTAGCTGGAGCCACAGTCTTTGCTCAGATACCTGGTAATGGGACCCCACCTCCTTCTGAGGTGGCCTCTGCTGAACAGTGCTGGCAGTTTGAAAGTGCTTCCATTTAAATTTCACATCAGCCCCCTAGGGTACTTTCCCCCAGCTCTGAGAAGAAAGGGGGGTCTAGAGAGATTGAGTAACTTCTCACAGCCCCTCAGTACTAGGCGGAGCTGGGATCTGAGTGCAGGCCTCTGCCCCCTGTAGGGGGAGCTGTGGGGAAGTGGGAATAGCAAGTCACAGCTGTTAGGTTCCTGGTTCACACTGGCGTTCAGTAAGCAGGTGGTGGCGCTTCCCAGGTTCAGTAGTAAAGAATCCACCTGCAATGCAGAAGACACAGGTTCGATCCCTGGGTCAGGAAGATCCCCTGGAGAAGGAAATGACAACCTGCTCCAGTATTTTTTGCCTGGAAAATTCCATGGACAGAGAAGCTTGGCGGGCTACAGTCCTTGGCGTCGCAAAGAATTGGACATAACGTAGCGACTTGGCGACTGAGCACTCTGCCTTCATGCTGAGCCCAAATCAACCTCCCTGCTTGTAACCCGCCTCATGCCTCTCTGTCGCAGGGACTTGAGGTACCCTGTGGAGCCTCAGCATGTCTGCTTGAGTCCCTCTGCTCCAGGGCAGTACAGAGATTTGAAGACATGAGTCATACACTCTGACTTTTTTCCCCAAGGGAAACCCCACATGTTTCAATAATTCCTCTGGTGGCTGGGAGAGGAGCAAGAATCATGGTCATTAAAGAGAGATGCCTCCTTGTGTGTCTGCCTTCAGAGAGGGCTCTATAACAGCTGCAGAGAACACTTGCAAGGCCTTCCCTTTCTAAATATAAACCTGAACGTTTCATTTCCCTTTATAAAAAACCCTCCAACAGCTCCCCAATGCCAACCCCACCCATGCCACCCTGAACTTTTCCTTTTCCACCTCTGCGTCTTGTCCCGTAATGTCTCATGTAACTTCTCTCCTGGCAAACACCTATGTTTCTCCAAATCCTAATTCAAAGTATTACCTCCCCTGTGAAGCTTTACCTGGCATCCTCCCCATGTCCTTGCTCCCTAAGGCAGAGCTGATGCCATTACAAATGGCCTTTGTCTGGTCTCAGCCAAAGTCAGAAGTGGGATTGGGTTCCTGAGTCTGTGTGTGTGTGTGTGTGTGTGTGTGTGTGTGTGTGAGAGAGAGAGAGAGAGAGAGAGGGGTTACTCACTTCCAGCACAGAGCTGTGTGTGTGTGTGTGTGTGTGTGTGTGAGAGAGAGATTGCCTAGAATGTATATATAAATCCCCTCCTCCAGTCCCTGATCCATTCATTCAACAATTTTTTAGCATCAGCTATGAGCCAGGTGCTGTTCTAGGCTCTGGAGCTGCAGCGGTGAGTAAAGCAGAGCAAGATTCCCCTATCCACTGGTACAGGTGCCCCCTCCTAACCCACAGGGAGAAGAGAGGCCATCGGTTGGTTAATTCTCTTCTCTATCAGCTCTTTCCGGTAACAGTACAGGGAGTGGAGCCATAAAAGAGGTCTATTTAAGGTATGGGCAGCAGGGCACTGTATTTAAAAACAATAAAACTGACTAAAACGTGGCCTGCTTTTTGTTAGCAGCATGCATCAGCAATTCTGATCCACATCAGTAATAAAATACTTCTTCCCTGGAGGTCGACTGCCCCCCCACACTTGGTAACCCTTTGGCTCCTCACCTCCTGTATAAACAAGGCTCCCTCTCATCTATAGTAAAAAAAAAAAAAAATTCCTTTCTCCACCCAATGTCCTCCTTAAGACATCATGCCCTCTTCTCTCCTTTCAAACCCAGCCTCCAGAGAGTGTTTACATTCCCTGCCTTTAGCTCTTCAATTTCCGTCATCCTCCTACCTGCTGCAGCCGGTAAGACCTCCATCACTCAGCTGAAACTGCTCTCACCAGGGCCACTAGGCAGACATTGACCAATCCTCGTGTTCCCTATGGCTCACCAACACTGCAGGCATCCTCTCCTGGAACCTCCATCACTCTTGTTGTTGTTTAGCTGCTAAATCACGTCTGACTCTTTTTTGACTCCATGGACTGTAGCCCACCAGGCTCCTCTGTCCATGGGATTTTCCAGGCAACAATCCTGGAGTGGATTGCCATTTACTTCTCCAGGGGGTCAGCCTGACCCAGGGAACAAACCCAGGTTTCCCAATTGGCAGGCAGATTCTTTACCACTGAGCCACCCAGAAAGCCCTCCATCATCCTTGGCTGCCGTGAAATCACACTCTCCTCCAGCCTCTGATCACTGCCTTGCAGTCTTCTTTATAGCTCCCCTTTGTATATTGGGGTCCTGTGAGACTTCATCATTGACCGCCTTGCTTCTTACCCCACACATTCTCCCTGGTGTGTCCCAACCAAACCTATAGCTTCAAGCAGCATCTGTCTCTCTGTTGCTGAACTCCAGACCCACTTTCTGGCTACCTCTATTTGAGTGCATCATGGACACCATCAAGTCTTTTTGTGCATTCATGACCTTGTTCTCTACTCCACTGAATTAACATCTGTGCATTCCATCCTCTGGATGCAGGTAAGTCAAAAAGGACTCCTTCCTCTAAATCAATGGTCACCAAGTGCTGTGGAGATCTTGTTATTACATCCATCCTTGTCACTCAGCTCTGCTTCTGCCTTGGTTCAGAACTTGTGCTCTTTCTCCTGGACTATTACATCATCTTTCTTCCTCAACTTCTGGCCTCTAATCCTTCCTTCTCCAGCTTTTTCATTGTAATTGCAGCTCAAGTGATCTTTTGAAAACACAAATCTGAATTTGTCAGATCTCTGCTTCAAACTCTCCCTAATGGTCTAAAGCATGAAGTCTAAGCTCTTTATCCCTTCTTTATCCCCACTCAAGGCCCTTCATGAATTGCCTCTCCTCTTCTCCAGCCCCATCACCCTTACATCCCTAAATGCCCTCTTCTGTATCCATGCTGACTTGCTGAGCCCCAAGCATGCCCTGTTCTCTCCCTCCTCCATGCTTCTAAAGACACAATCTCTTACCTCAGAATTCTCTTGGCTGCCTGGAAGAAAGGCCTTATCAGCATCTCTCTCTCCACTTAGAATTGGGTTCTCCTGTCTCCAGGATTCCTCAGATTTCTATTGATATGTATCACCCTTTATGCTAACTTCTCACTCACCCAGTACATTTCCATTGAGCACTTACCATATGTCTCATTATGGACACTGGAGCTGCTAAGATAATACAACCCATTTGTCTGAGCTCAAGAAGTTCCTAGTCAAGTGATAGAAACACTAGAGGTCACTGCAGACCATGGGGTAAATAGACCATGTACAAATAGAGGTTTGGAGAGCCCAGAAGTGGATCCCAACCTTACCTGAAGAGCCCAGGAAAGTTTTACTCTCCAAGTCTGTTACTGAACCACAAGAGCCCCAGGGAAAAGATGGTGACATTCATTTATAAACATATCTTACACCCTCAATAAATGCAGGTGAGGTGTTCTCAACTCATGTTGAATGGATGACTGACAAAGAAATGAGAGCAAGTTTAGTCACTTCTCCCGCTGTCTTCCCACCACTGTATCAATCTCTCTGTTAGCTCATACATCATCCTGTTGTGACTTTTAAATGTTTACATCTTTCCACCTAGACTATGAATTTCTCAAGAGTTGAGATTATGCCTGATTCATCTCTGCTCCCCTGGCACCCAAAGAAGGACCTGGCTTAGAAAAAGTCTCACTTGGTCTTTCTTCATTAAGTGCACATGGTCCACACCCCATTCTTACCCTCAGTTCTCAGAGCTACAGATAGGGAAGGAGAGACCTGTTCCTGGTGCCCCCACAGACCAGAGAGTCTAACAGAACCCTCAATATGAAGGATCTGCCCCCGGGGCACAGTGACTCTAGTTCAGAGAGTTGGGTGGGATCTTAGTAGTCACCTAGTGCAACTTCTCAATCTCTCTCTCCAGCTCAAGAATCCTCCTGCCAGCCTCTGGCTTGTATATTGTTGGTGACAGGGAGTTCACTCCCTCTAATGTAACCAATCCCAGCAGCCTCTAGCTAATAGAGTTGGGCTATTGTAGAGTTCTTTCTTTCCTATGCACAGGGGAGGCAGCATGGTGTAGTAGAAAGAACCTGAGAGTTGGGCAAATCTGGATTTAAAACTCAGTTCCTGTTTCTTAACTGCAAGTGAGGTGTTAACCTCTCTGAGCCTCTGTTTCCTTATCTGAAAAACAGGGATAAAGGTGATTTTATTGCTGTCAATAAATGAGAAGGCCTGTGTGAGGTGTTTATCATGGTGCCTGAAATACAGGTCCCTGATGCCCCCTTGTATGGAGTCAAATCCATCTCTCATTAACTTCACTTACTGGTCCTGGCTGCACCCACTGGAAGCACCACAAAAAGTCAGGACTCCCGGCTCCATACCCCGTGACTTCCCCACTCCCCCTCCTGCCTCTTTCATCTAGGACACACTCTCTCCCAACTGCCACCTGCGGGCTACACTCCCACACCACACCCCCAGGGCGCTGGATACCTTCACAGATGTCACCGCGTTCTTGGAATCCCGCACTGCAGCTGCACCGGCCCACGGGCACCAGCCACTCGCCATCGGCGCCGCAGTGCATACGCGGGGGGCTGCCGGGCTCCCCTTCTGAGTGTGCCACGCACGTTCCGGTCACCTCCACCAGCGTGGAGAAGGCGCTCTCGGCTGCGGTGGCTGGGAATGCCGCCAAGCCCCGCACCGTGGCGCGGCACTGCTTGTAGTAGACGCGCACAGAGACTAGAGCCACGCATGCGCCCACGTCCTGGAAGGCCAAGTGGAAACCCCGCCGGCTGAGCGGACCGATCTCGCGCACCTCCGTGTTCAGCTTCATCTTGCGCTCACCCAGGTCGCCCTGAGTGAAGCTCTCGTCTGCCGCGATCGTGTCGATCTTGCGGGGCCGGCTGCCACCTGGGCGGGTACGCCCGCGGCCCAAATCGGCCTCGGTTTCCAGGTAGTAGACATTGAAAGTCTCCTTGCAGGTGCCCGCGGCTCCGGGGATGCTGCTGCAGTCACGCAATGTGAACTGCAGCTCCACGAAGATGCGCTGCCCGCGCCCGCGGCTGATCCAGCCAGTCTGCAGCCAGTTGTCCTGGTTGGGCTCCAGCACGTTGCACACCTGGTATGTGCGGATGGGACGGTCGTGCTCGTCCACGCCGCTGATCTCCTCCCACTGGCGAAGAGAACAAATATGTGGGCATCTCAGAGCCAAGGCGCTCCCAAGAGGTCAAGCCCTGGCGTTAACTGGGGCTGAAGCCCCACTTCCCCATCATTTTGCATCCTCTTCTCTCCTCCTTCCTCATACACACCCCTGAAATTATAAGACTCAGAGCTGGGAAAAACCTTGGAGACGACTGAGGTCCAGTTAACAGGGAAACAGGCTCCAGAGAGGGGTAACTTGAGTGGATAGACACGTCCTCTTATGGCAGAAGTAGGGAGTCTCCTGGCTCTCCACCCCCTGCTCTTTCCACAACACCAAGCTGCTGTCACACCATCACATCTCCCCCCATTACCCCAAGTTTCCAAGCCTCTTTTAGGATTCCAAGTCTTGCTTGTCCTGTCAGTCCATCAATCAACAACATTGCTTAGTGGACCTACTGGGTGCAAGGCACCATCCAGCATTGGCTCCATCCAAATACTGTGTCTGTTCCTAGACACACCCAGTTCTCTTATCACTTTTTTTTTTTTTTTCAGTCTGACTGAAGAGCCAACATTTTCTAATTGGCCACTCTGGCTTGAAGCCAGGGCTGCTGGAGACTACAATCTCAGGAGCATTTTGATCTGATATAGCCATGGGGAGATGAAGGGGCTGAGTCCTGGACCACCAGGGGCTCCTTGGGACAGAGAGGGAAAGGTTTACACTTACCCCATTACTTGGCAGTGCAGTCCAGCCCAGCTCAGCTTGGGAAGCTTTGGAATCCAAGAGGATGACTAGAGAGAGGGAAGAACAGAAATATCAGAAAGTTCGGGGCAGAGGGGCAGTGAGAACCTTTGGTGAATTCACTTTAAATTTGCTGACTGAGAAAACAGAGAATGTGGTGAAGGATACAGACAAGTTTTTCCCACTTCATATGTCCCCATGAGAAGGCGTGAGTAGATCTAGTCTAAAGAAAGGTAGCCACAATGATTAGGGAGGGAGCCTGTATTAGTTTTCTGTGACTGCTGTAACAAATTGCCACAAATTTAGTAGCTTAAAACAACAAAACTTTATTCTATTACAGTTCTGGAGGTCAGAAGTTGAAAATCAGTTTCACTGGTCTAAAGTCAGGGTGTTGGAAAGACTGGTCCCTTCTGGAGGTTCAAAGGGGAGAATCCATTTACTTGCCTCCTTCAGCTTCTAGTGGCCACCTGAATTCCTTGGCTTGTGGTCCCCTCCTCCATCTTCAAAACACATCCTTCCAGCCTCTGTTTCCTTCTCTAACTCTGACTTCTGTGTTTCTCTTATAAGGACCATTGTGATTGTAATTGGGTGACCCATATAATCCAGTGTAACCTCTCCATCTCAAGATCCTTAGCCACACCTGCAAAGTTTATTGCCATTTACTACAATATTCACAGGTTCTGCGGATTTGGGTATGGAAATATTTGGAGAGTCATTATTCAGGCTGGCGTGGAATCCATGACATGTGTTCTAAGACTGGTTCTAAAATGGGATTAGTGAACCTCCTCCACCTTCCCAGATTCCCCAAATTATAAATGAGTGTCAATAAGAGGGAGAAAGTGATCATATCTGAGAATTCTTATACACATTCCTGAATTCACTCATACTCATGGGTTCTTTTGAGGCCTAGGGTCACCAGGGATAGGGGAGACTTGAACTTTTTAGTTTGACTCCCAGGGCCTCTGGGGAAAACGAAGTAGAGAGACCCTGCCAGCTGCAAAAGAAGTAAAAATCTTTATCTCCTCAGCCAGCCCCTTTCCCAGGGGCTGTCATCTCCACTGCTTTTGAAAGATTATCAGAATTCCTTTAATGCATAAAGACATGACCCCTTCTAAACCAGAGATGCATGTGGTCACTTTCTTCCCCCATGAGGCGTCTGACCTGCAGTCTGAATTCTGCTGTCAGTATTGGTCCCAGAGAAACACTGGTTAGAACAGCAGAGCAGCAGCTCAGAGCCAGAAGCCCAGGCATCTCCAAATCTTTGAAGATTACTCATCTGGAGCTTAAGCAAGGGGGTGGGGCTCCAAGGTGAGCCCTTTAAGGGGGTTGGCCCCAGAGGTGTCAGCGACAATGGGCAGGATCACTGACAGCTTCCCGATTTCGGTGTAACCGACAGCACATCGAAATTGCATATTGGAAAGCATCAGAGATCTAGCGCCCACAACAACCCCGAGGCCAACGCCTCAGATTCCAGCTCCTCCAGCTCCTGAACCTGGATATTACGCCTCTGGATTTAGCTTAGTGTACAGCTCCCCCAAATTCAGAGTCAGAAGCAGGACGCGGTCGCTGGTAGAGCGAGCATCCTCGAACCCGGCAACGCCGATCGCGCTGGTTAGTCTACACTCCAAATTCAGCACTGCGGACAGCTCCCTGATCAGCACGTCGGACAGCTTCCAGACTCTTGCCCCAATCCCCGACCCAACGCCCTCTCCGAAACACGCCACCAGCCGCCCCCCGCCCCCGTCGCCCCACCAGCGCTCTACCTTCTGTTCGCCACGCAGTGGTCCCCTAGACTCCCCACTGTTCCGGCTCCATCCCGTCTCCTTATACTCCAATCTCACCTCCGCATCTCCCTGCCCCCACACCTCCCACCTCCAATTGCTCGGCCTGTCCGTCTCACCGGCCCCTGAACCGTCGCCTCTGGCTCCCACGGTTCCTGGTCTCTTTCTTCCCCAGCTTCCCAGGTCTCCAGCCTCCGAGCTCCTCAGTGCTCCTGTCTTCTCCGTTGCTTAGCCACCTTTTCCTCTCTCTCCAGTTCTTTGCTTTCTCGTTGTCCGCTTGCTTCAAACCCCAATACAGACTCCAGTCTCTTCATACGACTCCTTCCCCAAGCACCCCAGTTCTTCAGCTTCCTACCTTTTGGCATCCAAGCCTCCCAAACAACCACCAATCTCACCTTCCTCGGCGGTCCCGGGCCTCCCCGGTCCCAAAAGCAAGGCGAGACACAGCGGCATCAGGCAGATGAACAGGCGCAGCGGATGTGGGCAGGCGCCGGTCTCCATGGTCCGCAGACCGAGCTGTCAGTGCGGCGGCGGCTCAAGCCGCGCCAGCCCCAGCACCGCTGAGCAGTGCCCCCAGACCCTAGCGCTGGCTGGGGGGCGGGATCTCGCCGGTGACCATCATCCATGGGCACCAATCCCTATGTACCACCGCGGGAAGTCCACCAATCCCCGCCAGCAGAAGGTGGAGAGGTGGAGTTTCATAGGCCAGGGGCGGAACAGCAAATTGGAGGGGGAGAAGGAAGGGGTCCCGCCAGTCTCCAAACCATGGCGGGTGGGGCAGCGCTGAGACCCGGTTCGGTTCACGGGGAGAGGGATGACCTGGCGTGGGTGGCCCAGAGCGCTGAATCTTAGCCTCTCATTCGTGAGAAATAGGCAGTGTGGGCGTGGCTTAAGGAGGAGCAAACCGCGGGGAGGCAGCGACACCTACAACCTCTGAGCTAACCTGGAAGACCCCTAGTACCCAGGACTTGCAGGAGGTTTTGAAGACTGATGTCCCGACCTCAAGCTCTGGGAAGCCCCTCTATCTCCTAGCCCTTATCTTCTTCCTGTATCTGCAGCTTTGGGTATCTCGTGGCTCCACCCCGCCCCCTTTTTTCTCCCCGCCCTCATCTCTCTCTCTCTCTCTCTCTCTTTCTCTCTCTCTCACACACACACACACACACACACACACACACACACACACACACACACCGGGGAAGAAGAGGCCAAGCACGAGCCCAAGAGCTCCACGAGTAAGGAGAGTAAAGTGGCAGACACAGTGCCACCCTACCAGCAGCTCCTCCGAGGCTGGGGAACCATGTGGACGCCAGGATGGGCGATTGATAGATTTTGCATGAACGACTGGTCCCCCAGGTTCTTACTTCTGCAGCCAGGACACAGGCAGCCCTCTCCGCGACCACCCCTTTCCCCAGTCTGCTCAGAGCCTGGAGTTTCCCCCTTTATAAACGCTCTCCGCCCACCCCAGGGACTCGTGAGGAAAGCAGCGGCCAGACTCCCGGGCATCAGCGAGAGAGAGGGAGTAATCCTCGTAGGGTTCACCCAGCGCTGAAAGAGTCGAAAGGAAATGTGGAGCACGACCTCTGTCTTGTGAAGGTCATTTATGTGCTGGCTGAGGGTTTAAGGCGTTGATGGTGGGAAGGGCTGGAGCCCTCCAGGATGAGGGAGGCGGCTACTGAGCGCCACCGTCTGGACTGAACGTGAGCAGAGAAAGCTCCACCCACCCGGTGGCTTTTCAGACCTCTTTTCTTGGGGGGCCTAACCCCTCTCCTTTGGAGGCTATATTAGCCAGAGAAGCCTTGAGAATTAATGTGAGTCCTGCATGGTCTGGATGTCTGTGCGTTTTGTATATATGTATTCCACATCCTTCAGCCATCACTCACTGGGTGCCATGTTCTGTGCTGAGAATACCTGAATGAATCACCCTGTCTCTGCACAGTCCATACCTCTATGAGCACCAAACGGAATGAAAATTTCTGACATCATAGAGCACTGGTCATTTACAAGCCACTTGCATGTGTCACTTCGTGTGTGTATGCGTGTGGTATGTGTACAAGCTTACTCACAGTCATACTTGCTGGACAGCAACAGTAGGAGGAGAGGCTGGGAGGAATTGAGTTCCTTTGCCCGTACAAAGAAAGGCCATCAGGAGAGGCTGAGGCTGGGAGACTGCAGAAGACCGAAGCTCGCTGAAGAAGCATAGGGAAGTGTGGCATCCTGCCGGCCCTTGGATACAGGCAGAGGCTCTGAAATCAGATCTACCTGAAGAAGGGCTCTTACACCCCCACCTCCTTCCCATCTTTATTCTCCACACGCTCGATTTTCCCCTCCCCCTTTCCCCAGCGCTGGGAGATGGTATTTTTAGAAGCTGCTTAGAGACCCAGGACTCCTTTCATTTCAAAATGAGTCCTCACTCAACCACTCCTCATCCCTCCCTTCAAAACGGGGTCCCATCCTTTTTGCAATCTCTAAGGCTCCAGCCACGGCTTCGTCCCTGAACTCCAGGGACTTCAACCCAGAGGTTCTGACCCCATATGCTAAAACAAAATGCAGCCTCCCTATAATCCTCACAAGGATCATTCAGAAGTCAAGCAGATGGAGGAACTTATCCGAGGAAAATCACATAGAATGACCCAACAAATCCCTGGTTGTCCGGAGTCTGTTTCCCATCTTTCCTATCACACACCCCTGCAGGCTTCTTGGGGAAATCACCAGATCAAGACCCTAGGAATAAGGGAAAGAAGAGGAAAAGAAGAAGTGAAATAAACCTTGTCTTTCTTCATCTGAACAATTCATCTGTAATAAAAGCAGAACGGAGAAGCCCCCTGTGTATGCAGATATATGCAAATCAGCTGGATCTTAAGAATCGCTCTAAGGCGACTCCACTCTCACCAGGAGGCTGTGGAATAGACATCTCAGTAAAGAAATTCAGGAGGGCTTCAGATGGAAACTGAACTGTGGTTTATTGTGAGCTTTAAGTGCTAGAGGCAGTCAACCAGGAACCAGGTTAGATCCCTCCATAGAATAGCAAACCGGTTCTCCGTCAGGGGGCTGCAGGGGGTTCTGTCCATGGTGCTTAATTATGAGACCAAGGGTTAATGGCAGTCTTGTTTCTTTCCATGGTGCTGAACCTACCAGGGTCTGGACCCTCCATTTTCAACTGGACCTGGGACTTCTCTGCTGCTGCACTGATTCTCAGCCCAGGTCTCTCTGCCTGCGCCTTCGGCCTATTACCAAGATCCAAATATTCAAGTCTCCAGAAGACAATCAGCCTTACTTCCTGGAATAATAGTGGAGGGTCCTGGGACTCTTCCAGAAACTCCAGTTTTCTCTGCTACTCCTCTCAAACCCCATCTGAAGTAATGATGGCAAGGATGCTTCTCTCTACTTCTATCTCACTGTCTCCAGGATGCTGAGAGAATACTTGGTGGAGCTGAGAAGTTTAATTCAACATCCAAATATAGAGAAGTGGTCTTCCAGGGAGCAGATCCAACTTTCCTGCAGCTTCCATCTCCAAGTTGTTGAAAGTTACACATCTAGGGGCTGAAATTTTTATTTATTCCTTTCACACGGATGCAGAAAGTACATTTGTCCTGGATGAACAGAGAAGATTGTCTCCTTCATGAAGAAGACCAAGATTACCCCAGAGAAATCAGGGTCAAGACCTGCTCTCAAGAAAAAGGACAGGTAAGGTGCAAAAAGCAGTGGGGCCCCTACAGCTCAAAGAAACATTTCCAGTTTGTCTCTTTTCTCTTCTGTTCCATCTCCCACTCTCCAGCCTAAGAAAGAAATCAGTTCAGTTCAGTCGCTCAGTAGTGTCTGACTCTTTGCAACCCCATGAACTGCAGCACACCAGGCCTCCCTGTCCATCACCAACTCCAGGAGCCTACCCAAACTCATGTCCATTGAGTTGGTGATGCCATCCAACCATATCATCCTCTGTCTTCCCCTTCTCCTCCTGCCCTCAATCCTTCCCAGCATCAGGGTCTTTTCAAATAAGTCAGCTCTTTGCATCAGGTGGCCAAAGTATTGGACTTTCAGCTTCAACATCAGCCCTTCCAATGAATACTCGGGACTGATCTCCTTTAGAACAGACTGGTTGGATCTCCTTGCAGTCCAAGGGACTCTCAAGAGTCTTCTCCAATACCACCGTTCAAAAGTATCAATTCTATGGTGCTCAGCTTTCTTTATAGTTCGACTCTCACATCCATACATGACCACTGGAAAAACCATAGCTTTGACTAGATGGACCTTTGTTGGCAAAGTAATGTCTCTGCTTTTTAATATGCTGTCTAGGTTGGTTATAGCTTTCCTTCCAAGGAGTAAGTGTCTTTTAATTTCATGGCTGCAGTCACAATCTGCAGTGATTTTGGAGCCCAGAAAAATAAAGTCAGCCACTGTTTCCACTGTTTCCCCATCTATTTCCCATGAAGTGATGGGACCAGAAATAAACATACCTAAAGGTGAATTTTTCATAGGACACCCAGGAAAACATAAAGTTTAAATTTTATTGTCTAAGACAAAGGGAATATAACACATTAAATTTATTGGCTTTGAAAATTAAGCAGTAAAACTTCAAATTATCAAACACAAGTGCTTAGCTTTCATGTGCCTCTACTTTCCCATCTGTGAGATAGGGATAAAAACACTTTTCAGAGTTATTGTGAGGTCAAAATACATTTTACATGCATGACCCAGCTCAGTGCCTGGCACATTTTTCTGGTATATTTTATGATTCAACTCCATGGTTAATTAAAGTAAAAAAAAAAAACAGAAGGAAAAAAGGAAAGGGTAAAGGAAGTTTAGGTGTGAGGTAGGAAGAGAGAGATAGTCATAGAGGAAAAGACAGAATGAAAGATAAAGAAACAGAGAGTTGGCTGGGATGAATGTGGCTAGAAAGCACAGGCGTCTGAAGGAAATGTGCTTGAAGAGACAGGAATGTCATCAGGGCAGACTGGCTAGCCAGCTGCCAAGTGGCCTCAGAGGTAACATTTACCTTGCTGAATTCATCATGGTCCAAGCTCATAAACTTGACTAACAGCGCTGAGAGAGAGCCCATATATTTGGGGGGGGGGAATTGATAATACTAGCTCAGCTCTTAGCCTGCTATTTGAGAAAAAAAAAAGTACTAATATACGATGAAAAATGGAACTGCCAAGGGGGCCAGAATGCTCACATTGCCATGTCCAGCCAATTCTTCTCCTGTAGAAAATGTGCATAGGAAGTCAATTTATGATGTGACGGCTGCTTGAAAAGTGTGTGAGAAGGGAGTTGGATAGTTTAAATATTTGATGGCATCAGGCTCTGAGAACCTTGTGCCTCCAAATCCCAGGTAAGAATAATCCTGCTGCTGGCTCCTAGTGACTCTGCAGGGGCCAGAGCTGGGGATGGGATCCATTAACATATGCTTCTCTCTCTCTCTCTCTTTTTGTTTGTTTGTTTCTTGTTTAAATCCTTGTTCCATTTCTTAGAGCCCATTTTAAGATCAAAGCAATCCTTTTACA